TGATCTTACATGCTTGTAAAATGAGCGTCCACCAGCAGTCACTGAGGGAAGGCAGGTGGGTGTGAGGGGGTGGAGCTGAGGGAGGAACCTCCCAGTAACTTCCCGTTCCTGAGGACAGACACGATGTCGAATAGCCGGGTGACTGTAGAGTGAACGGACCGGGGAATGTCAGGACCATGGCAGCCCTAAAGGCCCACGGAGGTTCGTCACGAGTTGAAAGTGAGGAGGTACCGGACTCAGGTACGGAGGCACGTACGCAGTGGAGGGAGAGCGGAGTCGAACCGGGGCGTGGCTTTGCCAGGTGGGGGGACAGAAGCAAGGCCAGGAGGCATGAGAGTTGAGGACCTACAGGAAGGACCAACTGGAGCAGTTCCCTTGGCGTCTAAGCCAGGTCAGGAGGGCGGACTTAGAGAGGGGAGGGACACTGAAATGGAGCAAGGTCCCCAGACTGGAGGTCCCCATCCGTGGGAGGATTGTCTGAGTCGTGGTACTAGGATGATGAGCAGGAAAGACAGGAGCTGGTGGCCAGGGAGGAAGCGAACATTCTCTCCCTAGGGGCCAGCTGCCAGCACCCCATTGTCGGGGTCACTGCCCTGCTCACCACCCAGCTCCCTTCTTTGTGTGTGGGAGGTCAGCTGTTTTGCATGGAGGGCTTACTTCTTCCTTCTAGTTAATTCTTACTAGGTTTCTGCCCATGAGATGATTCCATGAAATCAAGTCTTATTTTGACTTTTTAGTCTTTTGTCATAGGGTGTGTGCACTCCCCAGAGAGAGATGGTAAGAAGGAAAGTGAGAAGTCACCCTCCAGGGAGGATGGCCACAATGCAGTCTACACTGTAACCCCTTTTCCTCCAATCTCCTCTTGGCATTTGGGGCATGCACACATGCCTGGTGTGATTTTCAAGCCGCCAAGTCTGGGACTTGAACTGCAGTTGCTCATGTGGGAGTCCAGCACCTTAGCCACCACGCCACCTGCTGGCCCCTTGAGTCTTGCCGTTTTCCTCAAGGGTGAGCAGAATCTCAACAGGCAGCTAGCATGACGACCAGGGAGGGTCTCTGTGGAAGGTCGTGCCATCTGCACACGGCACCAACCCTGAATGAGGGGGAGGAGGAGCTGGGATGCAGCTGAGCCCTCTCACTGAGCACCAGCTGTGGTTAGTGCCTGCAGAGGCTCACGGCCTGCTAATGTGGGATGCTTCCAGGCTGACACCTTCTCTAATTCACAGAACTGTCAGCCAGGGAGCCCTAAGATGCTCACCACTGCCTGGTTTTACCCTGAAGGCCGGACTTCAGAGATTTGTGTCTTTTTATTTTTTTACGAAATCCTTTGCAGAATTGTGCCCTTTAAGTGCTTGACCACTGAGTGTCTTTAAGGCAGACTGGATATTATCCTTGCTTAATCTGTACACAGAGCAGCTCTCTACAATGTTTCTCTTCTTTAGAAATGGTTAGAGGATCTCTGTGCTCACCAGAAACAGAGAGACAAACACAAAGAGAGAAAGCACCCCCGATGGACACGGCCATGCTGCAATCCCTTCTCCATTTCTCCATCCCATCGAGTTCGGGCATAATGGAACCAGGATGGTATGGATGGGTGGTGTGGATGTTAAGGTGGCTGGATCCCACATGGCCTACTGTGCGGTCCCGAGTCCTGGGCCCGACAGCGTGGAAACCACACCTGGTACACGTGTGTGCATTCCAAGACTCCCAAGGGGAGAGAGGAGGAGAAGGGAGCTGCAGTGTGGCTATACCCCCTGGGGGGGTGATCTCTCTCTCCCTCCCCAGGGAGCACATATGCCCTAGAGCAGACTGAGAAACAGAGCGCGGGAAAGCATGCAAACACACACGGTGTGCATTTCGAACGACGCGGGCTGCGATGTGAGTCACGTTGGCCATGTGGGATCCAGTTCCCTTAGTCATTAGGTTATGATGTCGGCCCTGTAGTTTTTATTTGGACAATTAAATCTGCTTCCCTTAATGTTATACAAGGCTTTTAAAAATATTTTTTGGAGGTTTTCGCTATAGGGCGTGTGCGCTCGACAGACAGACGGAGAGAGACAGAGACAGAAAGTGAGAGATATACAAGGCTTTTAAGGAGAGCATTGTTATTTGAGAGAAATGCTTAAGTATGTGTCAGAACCCGCTGCTACCTGCCCCTTTCTTGTGCATTCATCAGAAAACTCAGGTTAGACTAACTTAAGACCTTTATAAAAAGCAGCCGAACAATTTCTTTTTTCTAATAAGTAACAGGAACGAGTGGGCACCAATTGCTAAGACAGGTTGCAGAAGGGAAAAGAAATTCCACTCGCTCGCTGGCTATTTTGAGGTCTTTAATACTGTATCAGTCCGTGCTGAGGAACACGTATCCAGAGCCCTGGAGTTTTCAGCCCCTTTAGTTATGCCAGTGTGTACAGTTTCCTTGAACTGAGAAGAAACTGCATACAAAAATAACTGAATAATGCAAAGGCTTTTTAAAAAAATGGAATTCTAGCAATAACCTCTAGAATTAGAAACATAATATGGAATACAACACAGCTTTATGGAGACAAGAATAACCCAGGCTCTGTGTAAGCAAATGTTGGTATGGAGGATGAGCTGCAGCTCGGAGACGTAAAAGACAAGGCCATTTCCAGCACATCTTACAGCCAGTAGCTCACCAGAGGATGCGATCCCGAGGGAGTTCAGTATCAGGTCTCCTAACTTAGCAGCAGAGAGTGAAAGACGAAGGCTACTCGGCCAAGCTAACAGGAAGGTCAAGGCTCCCCAGCTCCACAGCATCTCTGGGTCACCCTGAGAAGAACTCAGCCTCCGGGGCCTCCCTCTCTGTGCTAACCAACAGCAGAGCCACCAACGGCAAGGACAGCGCCATTCCCGTCAGTCCTGGTTGGTTAAGCTTTCCGCAAAGGCCACGCTGCGTCTGAGAGCTCCTTTGAGCATGTCCCTGTTCGTCTTTCATCCTCATGTAGAAACGCAGTGTTTGGGCGAGGAGGGAAGTAACGCGGTGAGTGTGAGTGTGAGTGTGAGCAGAGGGCAGGCGCGGCAGGGGGAAGTGGACGGTCTTCTCAGCCTCAGCTGGAGCTCCCCGTGGGAGACGCTCACCACCTAGAGTACCTGAGATTCCAGGACGTCAGCCAAATCCTTAGTCCAACTTTAGAATAAAACTGCATGCTAGGGGCCAGCAGGTGGTGTGGTGGTGAAGGCAGTGGACTCCCACATGGTGGTTCGAGTCCTGGGCCTGGTGGCTTGCTTTCTTATTCTCTCTCTCTTTCTCTCTGGTGAATGCATGTGCCCTGTAGCAAATTAAAAGAAAGAAATACAATTAAATGTTTATTTTAAAAAATTGCATGCTAAACCAAAATACAATTTCCCCCCAAATAACGTATTAAAAGTTATGCACGCCATTTGGGTGGAAATCCATACCAAACTGCTTTACACTTCCAATGTGCACATCACTTTGCTTGTGAGTCCTTGTTCCAAGGGTGGCAACTTCTAAATGATAATGCAATGACTGTGTCACGTCCTTGAAGAGACTGAGTAACATTCATCTTAACTGGGTGCTTTCTGACGGATGGGGACAGCCCTGCACCGGCATTAGCACGAGGACTCTCGTGTGTGCATTGGCATGTGTGTATCTAAAGTCAGACTGAAGGCCGTGGTGTACCGTCCCAGGGGTGGGCTGAGGAAAGATCGCTTTAGACTGCATTTGATAGGCGTGGAGTGAATAGTGAGGTTCTCTGTGCCACAGCAGGCTCCGCGTTAAGTGCAGAACTTCCGTCTTAGACTCAGGAGCGACATCTGTCTAGAGGAAGCAAGTCGTTCCTCAGTCAGTGAGTCAGAAGACCCCACGCTGACATGCAGTCTGTTTGGCTCAGGCCGGGGTATTATTTTTCAAGTTTTTGCTTTTCTTTCATACCATGCATTGATTTCCATTCAAATAACAATTTCATCACGGGTGCTTTAACATATGCTATTTAAGTGGAAATTTGATTCCTAAATATATTCAGATTCATCCCATTAGTTGAAAAAAACTCAGGAAGACATGAATCCATTTTGAGTAACTATATAGGAATGAGGCTACAGTACTATCCAATCTGGAGGCCTTTTTATACAAAAATATAAAAATATTTTATTTTCTGAAGTTGTCATTTACTTTTTGAAAGTTTTTGCTAGATGGTATGTGTGCTCACCAGAGAGAGAGAAGTGAAAAATCACCCCCAGTGGGGGATGGCCATGATGCAATGCCTTTTCCTCCATTCTCCTCTCGGAATTTTGGGCATGGACGTACATGTACCTAGTATGATTCTCAAGTTGCTGGACCTGGGATCCGAACTGCAGAGCCAGCCATGTGGGATCCTGTGCCCCAACCTCCATGCCACCTGGTGGGCCATGATGTTTTCTTTTTTCTTTTTTTGTTTTTTTGGAGAGTGTTTGCTATAGGGCGCGTGCGCTCGCCTGACAGAGAGAGACAGAGAGACAGAAAGTGAGAAATCACCCCCCAGGGGGGATGGCCACGCCACAATCCCTTCTCCTCCATTCTCCTCTCGGGATCTTGGGCATGCACGCACATGCGCCCGGTGTGAGTTTTAAGCCACCGGGTCCGGGATGCGAACCGCAGTCGACTACATGGGAGTCCAGTGACATAGCCATTACACTAACTGCTGGTCCCTGATGTTTTCTTTTTTCTTTCTTTCTTTCCCTTTTTTTTCCCCCATAGGGCATGTGCACTCACCAGAAGAGAAAGAGACAGTGAGAGGGGAAAGTGAGAAATCACCCACAAGGGGTGATGGCCAACCCACAATCCCTTCTTCTCCACTCTCCTCTTCAGATTTCATGCATGCACACACATGCACCTGGCATGATTTTCAAGCTGCCAGGTTTGGGATTTGAACCACGGTCGGTCATGTGGGAGTCCAGCACCTTAACCACCCTGCCACCTGCTGACCGCCCCATGATGCTTTCACTTTTGAAGTCCTCCTTTGAAAAGGATGTCACAAAAAATATTAAACAACAGAAGTTTTAAGGCTGCTAGGCCTTCCGAGGCACATGAATGGAAAAGGCCATTTATGGTGACATAACCAGAGGTCTTTGTGGTAAGATGCGGACGTACAAACCGACTCCAACGAACTCACTTTCTCTGCAGAATTGCTGGTGTGAAATTATACACCAGTGTTATTCCCAGGCCTGTTCTCTCACTGCAATGCAGCACAGTTTATGGAGCACCTGCTGTAGTGTTCCTACACACAGGCTGGCCTTCCCCACAGGCTGTTCCGGGGTGACCCTAGCCCCTCCGCTGTCATGTGTGTGCATGAAGCTGGCCTGCTCTGGGCCCCTCTGCCTGAGGAGCAGTTCAGGCAAGGCTGTACTTCGGTCAGTTGTCTGGGTTTAGAGAGTATCTCAGAAGGCAGACGCGCAAACAGGCCTGCCGGTATTTCTCCTTTGAAGACACGTTGAAGATTCGTTTTCCTGAGGGGTGTGGCTTTGCCCCTTCAATGACTTTATCACAACAGCGGAGCGGTTTGCTGCCGGCCTGCAGAAACGGCGCTCCAGTCCCCAGACTTCGCTGCCTCAAGGAGCGGGGCCTGTCACGCAGCGGGCATTCCCCTGGCTTACTTTAAAACAGGAGCGGTAGGAAGGCTCTCCTGTGCTTTGGGTAGGAGACAAACGTGCTTCTGTAGAATCGGTGGCTGAGGAGAGCGGCCAGAGCGTGGCTGAAGAAGACGTATGCCACCACGAGCCACCAAGTGAAGTTCCGGAGCCCGAAGGTGACGGCAATGGACACGTAGATCATCAGCTCCGCTAAGTAGTTCGGGGAGGAGACGTACTCGAACCAGTCTCCGAAGGGGATCCTGTGGCTGCAGTGAACGGGCACTCCTGGAACGGGGGAGGAAGGCCATGAGGGCTGCAGGCGGGGCACCCGTTCCCAGTCACTCACACAAACTCTTCTTCTTAAGGTTTATTTATTTTTCATTTTATCTGTTACTATTATTTACTTCTTAATTTGATCAGAGAAGGACAGAGAGAGAGACAGAAAGAGAAAGTGAGAAAGCAAGCCACCAGGTCCGTGACTCAAACCATGGCTGATCAAATGGAAATTCAGTGCCTGCACCACCACGCCACCTGCTGGCCCCTACTCATAGAAACTCTTATTTAGCAAAGAGTATGTGGAGCCAGCTAGTGACAGCGTGGTTATGGCACTGGATTCCCACATAGCCAATTGCAGTCTGAGTCCGGGACCTGAAACTCATGCTGGGCACATATGTGTGTGTGCCCAAAATCGCGAGAGGAGGGTGGAAGGGAAGAGACTGAGGCATGGCTATTTCCTCAGAGGGCGATTTCTCGCTTTCTCTCTTGGACTCTCTAGTGAGTGCACGCACCCCATAGCAAAACTCTCTTTAAAAAAAAAAGAAAAAGAAAAAAGAAAGAGGAGAGTATCACACACCTATGTGCAAACCACCACCCACCACACTTCCATTGTCAACTACTACATGTTTAGAAAGCACAAAAGGAGATCCAGTTTCTCAGGCAATCCTCCAAGCCAGCAATAAATCAGGAGCTCGGACTCCAGGATCACACTGCACCAGTTCAAATCCTGGTGCACCCACTTACCAGGTGTGTGTTTAGATACAGCACTTGGAACAGAGCCCGGCACAAAATGGGTACTGGACAGACATTAAATGCTACTATTCCACTTTTCATGGTTCGTAAAGCCTCGTGGAAACTGTACTTGTGATACGTCGACCCACACTAACTAAAAGGTTGGGTTTTATTTCCCCCCTCTGGCTGGAACGACACTAATTCCATGGTCACACTAGCTCTTAAGTGCTGACTGGCTGTGTCTGTCCACTAGTCTCCGAAACGTGGGCATAGCACAGCCCTCCGCGCCAGTGCAGGCTCTCGCTTTACAGACGGGACGAGCACGGTCAGACTCAGAGAGGAGATTGCAGTGTGGCCATCCTCCTGGGGGGTGATTTCTCGCTTTCTGTTTCTCTGACTCTGTCTTTCTGCCAAGTATGCCCTATAGCAAAAAATAATTCTTAAAAAAAAAAAAAAAAGAAAGAAAGAAAATGAAAATGAGCATTTGATGTATTGGGGTCATTGGAAAAGTCATGACATATTTTTGCATAGAAGGACAGAAAGACATGTCATGGCTTTTCTGACGACCCAATATATTGTCAATGAACTAGGATAGGAAGAAGAACAGGAGAACGTGGAGAACTTGCTCCTGAGGGCTCAAACCCTCTGAAGGAGGTCTCACCTGCTTTATTCTTCCTGAGGCCGCCGAGGATGGCGTGGCTCCTGTACTGGTGGGCGGACGACCAGAGGAACATCACCAGTCCAAGGATGTGGAACCACCGTGCCTGCATCAGCAGGTTCTTCCCGGCCACGTAAACTGAGGACGCAGAATGAGCCTGTTAGTCTTGGCCAGCTGTCAGGCGGCACGTGCTCGGGGATTAGAATCACGGTCAGCCGAACATAGTTACCCGTTGCTCTATTCCTCCCGACAAGGACAGTCTCCTGGCATGGTTCCTCCACCCGAGAGGAGGCC